AAAAGCCCCCCCCCCCCAAAGAAGAACTTTCTATCCTGAGATTTATGTACACAATTACAATTAATTTTATCATTTACATGTGTGCTTTTCCTGCTGTCTCATGTCTTCTGTGAGGAAGGCCTGTGACTATTGTATCATTTGTACTGATTGTCAATTTCACCATCAAAATGAAATCATCTTTCAGACCACATGGGGGCAACATTTGTATACTTTTGGATCAATGTTCATATTTTGATCTGGTACCATTACTACTACAATTAATAAATAAATAAATAAATAAATAAAAATCACATTATTATAGCCTTCCTGATACTGTATTTGTTTTTGACAATCATTTAAACCCTGAAGTGTTAAACTTTTAAAAAAGTTTCAACTTTTAGTAATCTAGATTTGCCCTGTATTTCAGATAACTGATTTGATATGTATGTATTCAAAATAAAACAACCTGGCAGGTTTCCAATACTGGTCCAAGCCATCCGCTCTGAACACCACTCAAAAGGGATGAGACATCTGCGGAATAAAGAAGAAGCTGATCATGTCTGAGTTTGCACAGTTTTATACAGTTTTTTAAGGAACTTTAAGGAATAAACAATTATAAAAGGAGCACTATAATTATAGAATTATAAAAAATAAAAAAAAATCTGTTGTACTAAAGCTTCTGCTTTTCACGTCAGACATATTTCCTCATCTGAGGCTTGTTTACTTCAACCAACAGCTTTGGTAACAGCCGCAGTAAGGTTAAAAAAAAAGTGTGGGAACTATGAAAAATACAAGTCTTGTCTTGATCTAAACCTCTTCACCTTGAATTATCCAATCAGATAAGGAGGTACTTGTGAGGACGGTTTGAATGTCTCAGGTGTTAGGGTTACACTGAAGAAAAAATTGTGTTGATTGCAAGTTGTAATTGTATAGTATTCCTGCCAGATCATTTCAGGAAGTAAACATGCATCTGATTGCCTATTGTTTGAAGGCTCTATCTTTGGACTTGTATACTGTATGAAGGCCGCCTGTCTTGTGATTGAAAGGTTACACCATGTGACTACAGCTGATTTTGTATTCATTTAGCCCATCAACTGAATTATAAAAGTAAGTGATCACTAAATGAACAAAAGAAAAATCAATGAAAAAATCAATGATTTCCATTCACAAACCAAATTGTCAAGAAAAGCCTGGGGGAAAAGCATTTAAAGGTAGGGGTGATTCTAAGTAACACGACTCCAATACAATACACTTTTCTTTCAAATACAGTGATTCATCAAATCACAGTCCACTAGCTTTATCCCCTGTGTGGTCGTACACAGCCCTGGCTCTGTAAATGGGAAGGTAACAGTAAATTACTTGCCCACGGACATTCAGCTTACCTTCTAGTTGGCCAATGTATGCTAAGATATAGCATAACAGCGAGTAGTGTGACCAGATCCCAACAAACCAAATGAGGGAGTATGTTTGTGTGGGACACATTACCAATGCTTTGCCCTCTGGTTGCTTCAGTAGCACACAGCAGACTATGCAGGTTGCAGGTCCCTTTAGCATGTGAAGGACTTAAATATATCTTATCTGAAAGCAACTTTTCCAACTCCCAGTCTTTGTTGTTGCTGCATTTCCTGTTCTTTATTGTAGTTTCTAAAATATTCCGCCTAAACCTGCATAGTTGTGACTTTGTGTTTTCCCTGCTGGGCACAGCATAGCCATGGCAGAGACAGGTTTAACCTGTACTTGATCCACGTGTGCGCAGTTTGATTGACATTAAACATGGCCCCCAAATGACAGCCTTTCCTGTTTTCTTCACAGCAATTGGATAAAAAACAAATGTTAGATAAGCGTCTGCCCTGAAGTGATTTGACTTTTGGAAACTAGAGCCAATCAAAATGTGGGACATCATCTCAATACAGTATGTGCAACATGGGACAAGGGATAAAAATGCTGTGCTGTCCCAAATGAAGTGGGTCTGGTCTCCCTCGTAGCAGGATAGTTTTGAGTACCGCTGTCTGGAGCTGGTGTGCTGGCTCTGGCTCCTCTCTGCATGTTAACTACACAGCAGCAACTTTAGCAACAGTTTGCTAATCCACGACATAGTTAACGTTAGTTACATTACGTGCTGTGTCGTTGTTAGCACTATATCATGGTACTTGTCATGGTATTGGATTTCTACAGAATCGCGTACCTCACCTTTAAAGGAAACATACCAAAAAAAGAAAAAGCAATGGCTATAAAAGAATATTAGTTTCACAACACATACTCCAATAGCTCCAATTTGTTATGCTCAAACTTTCAAAATGTTGTCTGTAGATGTTTTATGAAGGATTGAATGAATTTCTAAATACATATGCCTCTATAGGATTTCTGAATTTGTAAAAAAGAAGGGGCTGCATATAACTCATGGTGGTGAAAATACACATTATTGGTGTGGAACCAAAGCATATGACCACTGCACCAAATGACTGGCCAGTGTTTATTTATTTCCACCCTTTTGTATTATGCATTGCTCAGATTATGATTTATTGAATTGGACTATATTAGAGTACAAATGTTGATGTCATTGTGTTTTACTCCTGTGAGCATTCCATCTGTCAGTTTGATCCCAACCTTCGCCAAAAAGCCCTGACTGGAATACGTATCTGATCCATGAGTATTTCTGTAACGGCAGGCCATTTGATGCTGAAAATGTAATCAAAATATTATTCTCAGTGATATGAGCACTTTCATTTATGCAAAATTGTTCTTCTGAGTTATTCACGATTTATTCGTTTGTAATCTGTCCATTAGTATTTCAATTAAATGTTGAGTTCTTAACACTGTGTCACACCCCCTTTATGACAGAAGCCTGTAATAATCGTAGTATAACCAATGTGATGTCCACCTAATCAAATGCAAAAACACTAGGGTGGTAAATGTATAGCCATGATACACGTCTATTAATTTTGTCTTTCTGAGTCTTGACTGAAGCTTTTCCCTTGAACTGATGGACTGACTTGGAATATACTAGCATAACATTGGTTCTAACCAACAGTTCATATTCACAACTGCTGCACTACAACAGCTCCCTGACCAGCATGAGAAATGTAGCTGGAGTGCAGCTGATAATCACCAAGCAGAACATTTGAATTAATTCAAATTATAATTAATATTAGAAAAGTTAAAAGGAGTTACCGAAGTCTGATCAGGTGCTACTTGGATGATGAACTGGTATGCAGGCATCACACAATGTTGCAACACCAGTCTGGTCATATCACCGTCCTCGGTCACTGGTTCTGGAGGCAAAGTGAATCCATCCTCCATGCGCTCATCTGACATGTTCAGCAACTGTCAGAAAAAAAAATAAAAGCATACCAGTAAAAATACAATAATATATGACTAGGTCTAAGATCATGTGTTATCCATGAACACATGCATAATTTATGACGTTATTATAAGGATCAGCTCTAAATGTGATTAGAAATTAGACTTTCTGAGGTCCAGCCAAAAACAGATTTTTCTACTATCAAATAACAGGCTTGAAAAGTGAATCCATGACAGTTAAAATGAATTAAATATACGGTATAATAATAAGATGAGAAACGGATACTCTTTCCCCCAAAAGGGTTCACGGCCTTGGCGCTTGATGACATGTTGCTGGTCTGATTAATGACATAACAGTTACACATGCAAAGCCCTGCTGCAGTCCATATGTATATGTAATGTAGGAGTACATATGATAAAACAACAACTGTGAGGTTTAACCTTTGATATGAGGTTGTTTACATACATCAGAATATCAAAGTAGCAGTCACCTCCATGGTTGCCTTGTCTGTACAATAAGGGAATGGTTGTCCTGCTGCATTGTATGATTAGATAGATAGATAGATACTTTATTGTCCTTCACAGGAAATTTGTCACCGCAGTCTGTACATACCTATCAGACATACATACATACATACATACATACATACATAGATACATAGATACGAAAAACATATGGACACCACGACATAACAACAAGAATAAACACTTAATGCAGCACATTTAGCACATCTACCCCTCCCTGTCCTGTGCGTAGCACTCACTCACGGCTGTTACCGGGATGCCTTGTTTAGAGATGCTATGGCAGAAGGTACAAAACTCCTGCCATAGCGAGCACGTTTACAGGCCACGGTCCTGTATCTGCGTCGGGATGGCAGCAGTACGAATAATGAGTTGAGAAGTTCGAGGCGGGTAAGTAAGTCAACAGCACACGCACACAACATGCACACAACACACAGACACACACACACACACACATACCCCAATGATGCTGAGTCCTTTGAGGTAGTCCATCCGCGGCTGGGCTTGAGGAACACAACCTGCTACTACCACCTTTTTCTGCTGATCCTGGGCTTTTCTGTACAAACAAATGCAAAGAAAAAGATAGAAGAGGAGACTAATATTAGTAAATATATAAAAAAAAATAATTATTTTTCCACCGACAATTCTGGCCAAAAGGTTTTAATTTAACCAAGTGAAAAACATTATAGTAAACGTGCTGTTACCACACCAGCGCAGTGCTGTCTCACAACTTTAGGTCAAACTTCTATTGTAATAGGAAAGCACACATACACGTATTAAATAGCCTGTAATGATAGAGCCTGTCTGCATCCTGTATCAATGGTAAAAATACCTTAGAAGAATAATAAATAAGGAGAGGGTGGCTGGATTTGCTATCTAAATTAAAAGGAAATGAGTCACTCTCTGAGGTGTAGAGAACTCAAAGGGCCAGTTGGCTGCACATCAAGTACAAATATATGACAACGGACAAAATTAAAACTACCGGTAATGACCAGCCAAGGCAGTAGCTGATCCAGTGTATCGCTAGCCAACGTTTGTTAGTTTCTAGCTTCAGAGGATGACCAGCCCATTACCACCTTGGTCGAATGAATAGTCGGCTTCTCATTTCCCACCACCGGTCTCTCAGTTACAATGCTGCTTATTAGATCAGTAGTTAGCACTGGGAAGGATACAGCCTCTATCCCCTTATCATTAGTCTTAATTTTGTCTCTTATCCTGCGCCATACAGATACTTATAGTATCTGAGAAATGGTCCATGTGAGAAAGGGACATGATGTTATCTTTCTGTGAAAGTTTCCAAATACAAGGAGAACTGTTTATGTTTTCCCCAGTGAAATGTAAGCCATATACTCCTCAAATGTCCATGAGAGAATTAAGAAAACCGTACTCAAGGTGACTCCCAGATTCAGGTTGTTACACATGTCAGATACATAAAAGAAAGGTATGGCAGGAGACAGAAGACGCCATAATCAATCAGTTCAAACTATTATGGGATTTCATACATTCTTCTCTGTTGTGTTTTGCTGGGTTGTTTGACTGACTGAAAGCAAATATGGACAACTATGATTGGCAACATAGATTTTTGAACGGGCATAGTATATCAAGTAGGAGATAATCTTTAACAAGTTGTGGGAGATAGGAAGGCTACCACGTGGAAAGGCGAGGCAGTGCAAGAGTAAAAGTGGCAGACAGACTACTGTGACAAGTATGACAGTTAAACAGTGCAGTCCTAGTCTGACTAAAGAATCAGTAAAACATGAAACACATGTTTTTTTATGACAAAACAGTTCACCATGGCATGTAACATAACCAAGCCAAAACTGGGGATTTACACACCAACAACACCATGATGAGTATCAAACATTTTCATTCAATATTTATGAATAGTTTAGGTCACTGGCAAGAGAGTAAGCACTGATAAGGTATTTTACAATTTCTTATTATTAGAAATGAAAGGTATTATTTTCAAGATGATTTAAATTAAAAAGGACTGGACAGGTAGTTAAATAGTGTAGCAAGCCACATGGAGAGTGTGTGTATTTGTACTGTGTGTGCTTGTGAATCTATGTGAGTTTTTATGTCACCTCCAGTTAGTGGCAATAAGATTTGAGACACTCGGTCTGTCTGACAAAAGCTTTTGGAAGAGCTGCCCAGACTCCGCCATGAATCTTTAATAATGAAGCCTTCTGACAGCTGGAGCAAGAGAGGGAGGGAGGGATGGATGGAAGAGAGGGGGGGGGCGTCGGAGGAGAACAGAGGAGGAGCACTGAAACTGGATGCAAACTGTCAGTTGTGTTATAATTCAGACTATGTTCGTATTCTTCAGCAAAACAAAGAGAGATAGTGATGGAGGTAGAGGGGGTGTGTGAGTGAGCACAGAGACAGAACGGGGAAGGTAGACAGCTCAATTCAATTCAAAGCCAGCCTAAATTGTCATATGAATGAGGAAGGGAGGGATAGATGAAAGCTACAGTTGGTGAGAGATGAGTAGAATAATGAAGGGAAGAGAGATGAAGGCAGAAATGAAAGTGTTTCATGATTATTTTTACTATTCAGAGCTGTTTGTATTTTTCATGGTTATTTTAGTGACTCGTGTTGAGCAGGTAACAACAAATTACTTAAGATGCCAAAAAAGATTAAAAAAAGAAAGCCTGTTGGATATGATGCCTCACCACAGACCAAACTGTTTTAACAGCACATTCAGAGAAACTGTGCTCCTACTGATCCTTAGAAATTAACCATTTTTATTGAGCATGTAAATTCACTAGTTTTGTATCCACTGAACTTTTACCTTTGTTACAGAAGGTAGCAAATAAAAACCATGTCACTGTGACACTTTTCTGTTGTAAACACACCTTGAAAACAGACAGAGGCAGAGCAGTACTATGTAATAAAAGGTGGATATACTCAAACTTTCAAGACTGGGCAAAGTTTGACGACAAAAAAAAAGGATATTGTCTGCTAGGAGTAGCTTGTTCTCCCCACACCGGTCCTCATGAAGGACTCACACTAGCATCACTGCACACCCACACTCAGACGTGCGCGTGCACACAGTAGGGGTGCGTCTGCATAATTCACACCGTCTCCTGCCAAAATGCACCAAACGTTCCTTTAATGTGCTACTCGCTCCCCGCCCACAGACTCAGAGCCATAGCTGACACAGAGAGTAAGCAGACAGCGCCTGAGCCGTCGCCTCAGCGCCCCAGGGGGAACAGGCCAATCACGTCGCACACAGTTGGTGGATGGGATGAGATGGAATGGGATTATGCGATGCAGTTGCCGTGGTGATACTCTTGAGCCCAACCGAGCGTTCGCTGCCAGTGACCCGGACCAGAGCAGATGCCCCCTGAGATCAGAAGACGAGGTGTGTGTGTGTGTGTGTGTGTGTGTTTACTTGGCTTCCTTGGCAAAAATTTCTACGGCCCCCTGTCAACTCTGCGTTACTGCTCTCCATAGCCTCAAGACCACACACATGCACCCACACACAGGGTCCGAAAACCCACGTGCTCTGTACATACACAATACAATGCATGGTCACGGATGGCATTGGCAAAAGCGTACAGCAGCCTATGCATACATGCATGACCTCTGTAGTATGTATGTATGGTAGGGAGGGATGTGCTGTACATATTGGTTTTTAACAGCTGAGTGGACACAGTGAATCAGTCAAATTAGACCAGACTAAATGTCCAAATGAATTGATCAGGTTGACTTGGAGAAGCCCCTTACCGTAAACATGACATTAAAATAACTCTAGGCATTAAGATGAACCACACTACATGCCCTATATAAGGGCCTCCTCAACTTTCTCACAATAAAACCTGAAATGAAAGAGAGGCCCTTCCTCTGTGGATTATGACAGTCTACTATAGTGCCATTTACATGACTGCAACTGAAATGTAGAGACATCATCATATAAATGAGCCACAACGCTGATGTTCTCAAACTGCCACAAATGTCTCGTATCTATCTCAGTGTTTTAGAATATGACCAGCTTATCCTTTTTTTCTTAAACTGTAGTGGTGTTTTATATAAACAAGTTTTTTTCTGCTATGCACTATTACTGATGCATTTTGCCAATGCATCCATGGTGCCTTGTGCCTCCATTAAAAAAGGTACCTACGTTATCCATTAATTCCACTAACTCCAGCAGAAACACCTAATGTGTCATTATAAGTTGTGTAGAAACCAAGACAAACATTTGAGGCACAAAGACCTGGAACCTCATCTCATCTAATCAAGCGCAATTTCTTTAGTCATTATTTTGAGGAGAAACATCCAAAACAGGCTAGCAGCTGTGAACCGTCTGTGTGTGATTCTATGTGAGGCAGGTTAACATGTGTAGAAGCAATTAACAGTAGGGATGACAGTTGACTATGTTTATAACAGTAAGTAACAAAAGTTGGGGCAAGAGAAACGTGCATTGAGTTTGCGGAGTGCACGAGAGTTCTTGTTGGCAGCGTTTGTGGATGTCACTGGTGTGATGATCGAAGTTCAGTTTATTGATCCAGGGTTATGACGAGGTATCATGATGGACTTCCAAAATCTCCACGGATTCACTGTTGATTAATTGTGGGGTTAGGATGTAGGTTGTGTGCTGAGCTGTGTGCTGGAAGCTGTGGATTACGGCTTGTGATTGTTACATTGTTCAGCCTTTTTGGATGAAAACACATGCAAGCAGCTCATAAGCTCTCGACCTCTTAGCATCGCATACATGTGCGGAGTACAGGCCAAAGCTACATCCAAATCAATCAAAAGCATGGCTTCACAGAAGAAGGCTCAACGTTTGTGGAATGCCCAGCCAAAGCCCAGACCTGAATCCAGTGAACATCGTGGAGTGATCTGAAGAGGGCTGTCGCAGGAGATGGCCCTCGCAATCTGGCGATTAGAGCACCTTTTGCAAGAAGAGTGGCCAACGGTATTGGCAAGTCAAGATGTCCATGCTAATAAGCTCCTAACCCAACACGACTGAGGTGCTGTATAAGCAAAATGTTTCAACCAAAGTATAGTTGAAGGGTGTGCCACTTATGCAACCAGGGTACGGTAAGTTTTTTATTTTTCCCCCTGAACTGTCACATTATAGGTCACATTAAAGGTGTAAAAAGTTTGGACATGATTTATCTTTGTCTCATCTTCTACATC